AAAAAAATTTAGAAATGAAGGGTTATTCATGAGAAATAGAGCGCACATTTTTTGGTCCACCCTGTATTCGTGTAATTTACAATGTAGGTTGCGAAAATGGTTGGACTAGTTCCCAAAAACAAGGAAAGCAATACTACCCGTAGAACAATTGTGACACCTTTCATCAAACTGCTCTATGTTGGGAAATCTCTTAGTTGTAGGCGAAGACACCTCTGGTGAAATATCTCCTAATGCGAAGGAGATAGTACCTCCTTCAAAGAAAATTCGTGAAGTCAATGAGTATTCGATTAATTCTGGACAAAGTGAAGCGGTTTTTACAAGCGAGAGCGAATGCGTGGGCCCTCCTGGTCTGCCAGGTATGTTTATACGAATTTAAATCTTTAGAATGAGAATAAATTGTTGCTAAATCCGTGCCAGTTTATTCTACAATTTTGCCCTCTCAAGTCCTGACCACAGATTTAAAAAAACCTCCCTAGGGATGAATGGATGGGATGGTGCCGATGGAGTACCAGGGCATCATGGACCAAAAGGACTCGATGGCACCTTTGACGTATACGAAGACGGCTGTATCGTTTGTCCACCCGGCAAACCTGGGAATCCAGGACTCCCAGGACCTCGCGGAACAATCGTAGGTGCTAACCTAAACTCAGACAGTTGAGCCTTGTCTACCTCATTCAAGAGGATTTATAGCACCCAATCATCAGAGCGACCGCATATCGTTCTACTGTAATTTTCCTTTTCCCATAGGAATTTTGCAGCGCATACATAACAAAGGAGCTCTTTTAAATATGGAGATAAAAGTAGACAAAGAGCGGTAAAAGTAATGTTTCACATTTCTCCTGCTTAGAAGTCGGCGACTGAATGTATTGCAGTAAGTTCCAATTTCCCAATCGAATCAGCAACTTTTTACAATGTAAAGATTATCACATTCGAATCATTCATAACTGCAGATATTGGTTATATGAGTCTTCTCTTAAGATTATTAATGTAAGAGATGTATTAATTAGAAACTCGGCTTTCCATTTCGTAAAGGTAGGATTTGTTCCTCTAGGTCTAACTCGTGAGTATTTTATCCACATCAGCATGAACATAACTTACTGGAATGTCCACTATGAAAACCCAAATTCTTTTCCGCTCCGATCAGGCTCACTGGAAAAACACATTAGCATAGAAAACAATGCAGAGAAAAGTAAAGCTGAAGCTACAATGTAGAATAACTTGGTCCCGTTGCATGCAGCGCAGTTCGAATCACTTGGTTTGCCACGTCTAAGTTACAGGGTGAACCCGGACCTCAGGGTGAAAAAGGGGCAAATGGCGATAATGGAGATCCTGGTCAGAAAAGTGATGAACAAGGAGAGCGTGGCTTTCCTGGAGAGCGTGGCAAAAATGGAGCGCCAGGATTTCCTGCCCCAGACGTAATTAGTGGACGAGGAG